ATTGCAACTGTTTAAGAGGAAAGGCAAGGATCCCTCCATTTTGGAGGAATTGTAATCTACATAATGGATTAGGCTATTTAGCTTGTAATTTGACATTCCACAATTTTTCCAAGCTAGCCTATCTCAAATTCAAGGGTGGGATGGGAGATATAAATGGATTCTATAGATCACTATGCTATAATTCTATTCTTTAACTTATAGCGACGCTCTTTAACTTACTTCTCTACAAAAAATGCAACATATATGTATGTCCTTTATATGCCTAATAATAAATATACAAATATATTGTATATACAAGTATATTAACTTAATTAATCTATGTCTAAATTGTAATTTATTAGAATAAATTTAATTCAAGGATCAAACGGGCCCTTAGTTTTTCTATCGTTTTGGCTTTTCATGAGTTGCTTTGCCACAAGGCAATGACATTTGCGACGCTAGGCAGCTACGCTTGTGATCTGTAACAGTGAGGTTGGTTCTGATTGAGATCAGATTTCTTGGTGGCATGAAAAAACACTCGGCCAGTCGGCCGAGACAAGTCAGGTATACTGAACGGCGCATCAGTCTAGGCTCTCTTTTTTAAGAGCTGGTGTGACATTTTCCTGCTGCAAGACCCTTTTATTTTCCATTTCACAGACGGAAGTTCGAAGGACAAGGAAATCAGACACATGGACACTGTAAATTGGCATGTGCTAGTACATGATATGGAGTTCAACAAACGTGCTAATACCATATCATGTACTAGCACATGAGCACATGGCTTTCTCAGCTCGAAGGCTTGATACGGTGATCTTGCATGAGTATGAGGCCACGGAATAAACGGATTTAATGATGTCCTGACCTTTATTTTTCATCCATATAATATATCGTTTCTGTGAAGTCGCAAACGTAGATATGTCCGAGTGGTTAAGGAGGCATACTCGAAATCTGTTGGGCTTTGCCTGCGCAGGTTCGAATCCTGCTGTTGACGGATTAACATTTTTTTCTGTCATCTGTTTTGACTTATTAAAAAAAATCTCTTCTTCTTTTTTATTTATTTTATTTTACCTCACTCAGTTCTCCATCCACAGTTTGTCACTCGAGCGCCCAACGACGATTGAACCGTGTGACTGGCCAGCCGACGATATCGCTGAGCCAACGAGAAAAATAAATACAATTTTTTAATGAAAATATGTTGCTTTTCAAATTTGTATACTTAGTGCAGGACTGACTAGCTCTAATGATCAGAAACGGCAACTAAGACTATGTTTGGATTTTAAGGTCTAAATTTTAGTAGCACTTTAGCACTTATACCTACTGCAGTACCAGCTAGCTCTAAGACCGACTCCAACCACGTAACCCATATTTGAGACCTATTTCACGATTTGCGTAATGTACAGTAAAAAAGGTTGCATCCGTAGCTTCGCCTCTCCAACAAAGGAGCCCCAAATCCCTGTGTCCGCGAAAATATCCGAGCTCCCACTTCACTGCAGCTCCTACCTCCTCCTCCTCTTGATTCCTCTGCTCGCCCCCATCCCACTCCTCGGCCTCCACCGGCTGCGACGCCACCATAGCCGGAACGCCGCACCTGCGCCCTCCGCTGGCCACATGGCGCGGCCCCGCAAGGCGCCCGCTAAGCGTACACTCGCAACGCCGCCTCAAGCGACACCAGTCCGCCTCCTCTGTCTCGGCCCATTGCGCCGCCCGCCGCGTCCGCCATCTCTTGTCGCACGGCGGCGCCCCAAGCTGCACCCGGTGCCGTCTCTCGCGCTCTGCTTGGTCCCGTGCACGTTAGCTACCGAAGGAGATGCAGAGCTTGGTCCCGTGCTTGTATGGGCTGGCACACGGCGGCTGCATCACGAGGCACCTGCGGCGGCACTACGGCTGCGTCACCAGCGCCCTGCGTGCGCCACGAGGACGAGCAATAGGGGCAATGGAGATGGAAGAGCAATAGCAGGTTCAGTCGTGGTGGCATCGGCGAGCTCCGCGTCGTGGTGGCCTCGTCCGCCGACGCCGCTGCAGCGAGTCATCATGGATCCTCGCGCGACGCCAAACGAGTGCACACGGCGCGCGGCGCAGCAAAGCGGGTCGGCGGCCGGCGCGGCTGGCGTTTAGCGGGCGAAGCCGAGCGAAGCGAAGAACGAAGCGGGCCGCGTGCGCGGCGGTGCGGGAGCGAGGCCACCCTCGGCGTTCTGCGAGGCGTCGCGCGGACGGGCCACCATCGGAGATTTGCCTACCGAGGAGAGAGGGCATGCTTTTCTGCGTATCGCATCGGTCGGCAGGCAAAATGCGTCGTCCGTCTGGGTCAGCCGTTGGAGACTGTTTTCGGTAGGTAAAGTAACTGTGCGTAACGCATTTTGGGTTTGCGTCTTCTCATTGGAAACAGTCTAATGATAAAAAACTGCCAACAGTTTGATGAGAAAGTGCCAGAATGACGCAAGCTCTCCATCATTTTGACGAAAGTGCTGTCATGGTCCTCAGATAATACTAGGTTATTACCTTGTGGAATACTCCTCTGTCCCAAAATACACATATATTGTATTTCGAGGAGTCAATCAATCTTTAGTTTGACTAGATTTGATATCATTATATTAGCCACACCATATATTTCCTTAGTAAATCTATTTAGAAATACAAATGTTAATACTATTTTCTATAAATCTAGTTAAATTTAAGATTAGTTGACTCATCAAAGTGCGAGATGTTTACTTATTTTGAGACGGGGAAATATGAAACATTGGCACTTTGGCGATAAATCCAACAATACCAGGATGTTGTACTCCTATGTGAAATCACCATCGATTTTGTACGCTCAGCGTGGACAATGAGACTCCCCTGAGAGGGCCATTTGTCACATTTCCTTAAAAAAAAAAGCAAAATAGGAATAAAGAGCAACACAACTTCCTTGCCCAAGAAAGTAGAGAAATGACAAGATAACAAAAAGACTAAGAACAACTTTAAAAGTCGTTTTATATCTTTTCATATTAAAAAACATTCAACATTTTTTTCAATTAAAATATCTAAACATGGTCATCCTTTATTCTAGGTTTCTCGTTAGTTAAAGATAGATAAAGATAGAGAGCGGGAAGAACTCTCCATAGTATACACAAGACAGAAGCTAATAGAGGATGTAAATATATAGATAATATAATATTTTTATTTAAAAAACTCTTCAAATAAAGATATAGAAAATAAATTTAAGAAATATATGTGAAAAGTATTGTGCCATGTTAATGTTAGTGACTTATGTGAAAAGTATTTTATAGACGTATCAGCTTGTCTAGTTTTTTTTTACTCCAACTTGTCTAGTTAGTCATACCAATATATATGGCGTGGTTGGGACTAATGATCTCGCCACGACCTCTAATTAACTAGAAGGACTAATTTTTGATAATTTAGCGGGAACGTATATTTTAAAATTTTTACTTTTTTCCTAAAATAAACAAATCTAGAGTTACCTTCCCCGTCCTAAAAAATGCCGCTATGAAATTAGTGTTGGTCAAACTTTCTTAAGTTTTGACTTGGTTTGATTATGAAAATATATTTAACGATAATTTTTTTTTTTTTCTTAAACTAAAAATAGTTGACTTCTTGGAATGATGGGATTGAGAGCATCTCTACCTGATCGAGGCAAACTAATATTCTCCCTCTATAACCAGCAATAAAAGGGATTAAATTAAAAAAACATACTCTAGCGGATCCCCTTTGCAATCCCTTTTACTAAACTTTTTTTTAATCCCTCAAAATCCCACCTAAGTCCCTTAAATGAAGGGGATCTGTCACTATTTTTTTCTCAACTTCTTTTCTTCGTCTCCGGTCACTGACATCGTCCGCTCACAGGTGAAGCCGCTGCCACCGGGAGCGCACGGGCTGGTTGGAGATGCTCTGAGAGAGTCAAGTTGGGTCACGTGGCCGTGTAGACCTGGTGAGCCAATTAGAGAGAATGATTTGTGGGCCCTTTAGGCCTGCATGCAAATCGGTTTGATGAGACCCAGCCCAATAGCAGTCTAGTTAGACGGTCTTCAACAGAGCATGGATGCTAACACAAAATAAGTCATTCACAGTATTTTGCTTATAAAAAACAACGCTCCAACAGAAGATCCAAACACCTCACCCATTTTACATACGAGGCTTGCCGAAACGCAAATCTGTGTCGTCGAGAGAAACCGAGGCAAATATCTGGAGTCATAGTGGTGGGCCCGTAGGAGCGGGGCGCGGCGAGGTGCGGCCAGGCAGACCGAGGCGGGGAGCCGGCGCAGCGAGGTTTGCCTCGAGGCGCAGCCAGCGGGTACCGCGGCGAGGCGGGGAGCAGGGCGCGGGCGTCGGGGAGCGGGGATCCGGGGTCCTCCTCGCCCGCGACCGTCGGATCCGGGAGGGAGGGGAGGAGGGAGGGGTGCCGCCGCCGGCCTGATCCGAGAGGAGGGACGCCGTGCTCAACGAGGGAGGGAAGAGAGAGAGGGACGGACTTCTGGATAGGCTGCTAGAGAATGCGAGTTTTTGGTGTGTGACCTGAACTGTGGAATGAGTTTCCGATTTGGGTATGTGCTGTTGAAGATAGCCTTAGGTTGTCTCTGACAGGAGATCTATTGCGGAACCCAAACTTAAAATTGGTCTCCAACATAATAGCTATAGTCTCCAAATCTATATGTAAGACCCATTTTAGGTATCAGAAAAGCATAACATAAATATAAATATCATCTCTCTTTAGACTCATTCGTAGAAAGAGTTGTCTTTTAAATTTTATTGTTAGAGAAGATAAAAATATGTATTAAATTATTTACATGTAACGCTAGTCAAATGATGAATGAGTCTTTGGTCGTTGACCTGGGCGCCCTCGCCTCCGTCCCACTCCCTACAAAACCCACGGCCGCCGCCGCCGATCGTCTAGGTTAAAGCGACGCCGCCGCCGCCGAAAGCCGTCCGCCTTGCCCTTCCGAAGGCTTGGTCCTCCTCCTTCTTGTATCTATCTCCACTCCACAGGTCCGTCCTCCACTCGCTAGGGTTAGCTTTCCTCTGCAGCGATGGCGATCAAGCGGACCAAGGCGGAGAAGAAGATCGCGAACGACAAGAAGCTGTGCGCCCTGCTGGATGAGTACACCAAGGTGCTCATCGCCCTCGCCGACAATGTCGGCTCCAAGCAGCTCCAGGACATCCGCCGGGGCCTCAGGGGCGACTCCGTCGTGCTCATGGGGAAGAACACGCTCATCAGGCGATGCATCAAGGTCTACGCCGAGAAGACGGGGAACAAGGCCTTCGACCCGCTCATGGACCTCCTCGTCGGCAACGTCGGCCTCATCTTCACCAAGGGCGACCTCAAGGAGGTGCGCGAGGAGGTCGCCAAGTACAAGGTGGGTTCGACTTTCCTCGCGTCTCTTGTTCCTTCGCCGTCAATGCTGTGGTTTGTTTGTTTTAATGGATATAGATTGCGAGTTGTAATTATGGTTTGGTGGTCGCCGCTGCAACTTTTGTTCTGAATATGGATTTGATGCATTTGATTATGCAAATTCTGTCGTATGTCTGCACTACCTGTGGAGTACTGTAGTACTACATTTAAAATTGACCTGGAATTGTCAGGATAGAACATTTGGCAGAACTGATGATATTAACTTAATTCAATCGGTGGTCCCTATAGTGGTTAGTCGTGCTCCATTGTGTTAGCAGTTGTTTAGGACATTTAAAATTGACCTGGAATTGTCAGGAATTGTCAGGATAGAACATTTGGCAGAACTGATGATATTAACTTAATTCAATCGGTGGTCCCTATAGTGGTTACTCGTGCTCCATTGTGTTAGCAGTTGTTTAGGAAGGCTGTTGGTTTACATGTGATTAACCGACTAGCTTCATGCTTATAAAAAAACATCTCTGGTATAGGTAAATCTGGTCAAGTTCCCAATTCATGTTACAAGTTTCTGTTAGTTTTTCCATGTTGTTAGTTAGACACATTATTATATTGAAGTATTTGTGTTACAGCACTGTGCACTATTTTTCCTGTTACAGATGCAGTATCACTGTCGAGCTAATGCTTGTCCAGAATAGTAATGCCATATAATTCTCATTGTGTTCTGTCACAGGTTGGGGCTCCTGCTCGTGTTGGGCTCGTAGCTCCTGTTGATGTTGTTGTGCCCCCAGGCAACACTGGGCTGGATCCCTCCCAGACCTCTTTCTTCCAGGTGAGCATTGCAAGCAATACCTCTGTAAGACTAACAGTTAAAAGCACATGATGGGCGATGGCCTACTTCTCACTCAATTTTTTGTTTCAGGTGCTTAACATCCCCACTAAGATTAACAAGGGTACTGTGGAAATCATCACCCCCCGTGGAGCTGATCAAGAAGGGTGACAAGGTGGGCTCATCTGAGTCTGCCCTGCTCGCCAAGTTGGGTATCCGCCCCTTCCCATATGGTCTTAAGATCACCAATGTCTACGAGGATGGGTCAGTCTTCAGCCCTGTGGTGCTTGACCTGTCTGAGGAGGACCTGGTTGAGAAGTTTGCCGCTGGTGTCTCCATGGTTGCCTCTCTGTCCCTGGCGCTCTCGTACCCGACCCTTGCTGCTGTGCCTCACATGTTCATCAACGGGTATAAGAACGTGCTTGCTGTTGCTGTTGAGACAGACTACTCGTACCCGCATGCTGACAAGATCAAGGAGTACCTGAAGGTAACCCCTCTTGCTCCTTACAGTCGTGTCGTTGGAATTGTTTTGAGCGACTGAAGCCCTTGCATAGATCTGCTTTGGCTGCTTGTTTCGCGAAACTTAGAAATGTTTTGTAGAGATATTTCTTTGTGCATAGTCTATCATGTGCAGCAATGAGTGTATTTAAGTGATTTGTGTATATTTGCAGTTGGTTCTCTGAGATGGTCCGAACCTAATTTTGTGATGCTGCTGAATTGCAGGACCCAAGCAAGTTCGCCGTTGCTGCCCCGGTTGCTGCTGCCGGCTCTGGTGCTTCGGCTGCTCCCAAGGAAGAAGAGAAGGTGCCTGAGCCTGCCGAGGAGTCGGATGAGGAAATGGGTTTCAGCCTGTTTGACGACTAGAGCTGATCGTATCAGCAGGCTGCTGCAAGTTTTGGCCTTTGCTTATGAGCAACAAATAACTATTTAGCTTGTTATCTGCTTTTATTAACAAAGAATTGGTATCCTCCCTTGTGCATAATCGACAATGCTATCTTGCATTCTTGCTAATGTTGGGCACTTGTGTCGCTATGTTTCTATCCTTGGTTTTGATGTGGCTTTAGTCCTGCATGCAAAATCGGCTGCCAAATTTTTCGGTATGTGGTTTTTGTCCATGCAAAATCGGCTGCCAAATTTTTCGGTGGTCCATGTTTTCGCTGTTTATGATATATATATTTTCGGGAGACTGGGGATTGGATTGGCGCTACTTGCCAAGTACCCAATCCTGATGAGCTGAGTATGGGTATGGTTAGAGTCGACTAGCTTTCCTTTTTTTCCCCCTTCAGTTTTGCTGTCTCTTTGGTCTATGAACGCTATGGTTTCGTGGCATAAAAATACAGTGAAGTGAGAGCTCGGTTTTTGCACTGTGAAAAGCAAGTTACGAAGTTACGTTCTCTCGTACTCTCAGACTGACTATTAATTAGTAAGTATTAGATAGCATCTTTAGGAGAGTTCCCTTTTTGATTCTTGCAGCTGTGGCTGCGTAGCTAGGCCTAAAATGAAGCCGCAGCCGCAGCCGCAGCTGTACTGCAGGTCTGCAGCAAACAGGCACCTGTTGCGGCTGATGCCACCCCTGTTATACACGCTAGTTTCTTTGACCGAGTGGACCTGCAAGTTCGGTTGCCCGACGCTTGTCATTTGCCACCGCTGGAAGCATACCAAACGCTCCATGCAGGCAAGGCAGCAACGGGAGATCCCAAGCTGATGCAAAGGCACGATTCCCCTCCTTATCACGGCCTTCTCCCCGCGGCCGCCTTCGGTGGCTCGCGAGCACGCGACGGCGATGGCGATGGCGCACCACCTGGGCCTCCTCCTCGTGGCGCTCCTCTACGTCTGCGCCTTCTCCGGCGGGCTCCTCGTCGCCGCCTCCCTGGCGCTGCTGGCCTCCCTCGCGGGCGCGCTGGTCGCGACGCTCGCGCTAGCCGCGTCCGACGCGCGCAGGGTCGCGGGCCTGGCCGCGCGCGTAGCCGACCTGGCCGCGGCCGACCTGAGGCTGGCGCGCGCGGTCGCCGCGTATGCCGTGGTCAAGGCCACGGTGCGCGTGGCGCTCGTGATCCGGCCCAAGATTGGCGCGCTCGCGTCGCGCGTCAGGAGTCTCGGCGCCGACCGCCGGCAGTACTACAGCGTGGCTTCGGCTTTGTTCTTCTGTAGAGCTGCGAACTTCACTGCTGTAGCATGAGTGCATGACAAATCTTTCATACTAATTTCAAACAAAATTTCTGTACTTTCTTTATATCTTTGGTTACATTACAAACTTACAATGGGAAAGCAAATAAAGAGCCATTTGGATCTCTTCATTTTGGAGGAATTAAAATCTACATAATGTATGAGACTATTTGGTTTAAAATTTGACATTCCATAACATTCCTAAGTTCATAGATAAGCTATCTCGAATTCATAGGTTGGGAGATAGAAACGGATTCTATAAATCACTATGCTATAACTCTATTCTTCAACTTATAGTACACTCTTCAACTCACTTCCCTACAGTAAAAATACAACATATAAATATGTCTCTTGTATACCTAACAATAAATATACAAATATATTTCCATATACAACTATATTAGCTTAATTAATCTATCCCTAAATTGTAATTATTAGAATGAATCCAAACGAGAGAAAATGGACGGAAATGCGAAAGGCCTGAACAAAAACTCACGATAAAAAGAACTGAATGATTGTCATTATGGAATCGGTGTCGCTACCTCTTATTATTGTATTGCCTTCCACAGTTCCACATGATCTCTAAGAATGAAACTGAGAACATACAAAAAGGGGCAAAAAGAGCTCTCGATATTATTGATTGCATTCCTCTGAGGTACACTTGCAAGTGGATTCAAATTTTCATACATTTCAATGGAAACAAATCACAAAGAATGCACGTAAAACTGTGAAACTACTCCATCTAGTATACAACAACGTATCCTCCTAAACCCGACGCCCAAGGTGTTTAGATGTATACAAACGAATATTTTCAGTGCCGTTGTATGGTCACAAAATTTCAAAGAAAACATGCTCAAGTCGCAGACCTGTCTTGCCTTGCCCAATGCACTGGACAAGAATTAGTTGGCCCGACAAATCCATACCAGCACTATACACGAGCACCCAATGCCTGGAGCTGGTAAGGGATAAAACCAGGGTTTAGGGCAACAGCACTATAGGCCTTTGCAGTGGCACGTATATAAAATAAATGGGCAAGCAAGCTTCAAACCTGGCTAACAAGAAGATCCACCTGCTCTCTGTACATCTCTTTTAGGTCAACAATATCATTTCTTAGCTCCTCCAACTGCAAAACAGCATCAAATTAAAGTAAGCATATAATAGAAGGTATTTTTACACAGTAAACAAAGATTATTTCGAAAACATAGAATAAATTAGATCACTTCTTATTTTCTAACTGAACTGCACATGAGTGTTCGAAATCCAAACTGTACGTTGTTACAGCCATTGTTCATATTCAGCTTATAGCTTACCTAAATGTTGCTTTAGTTCATACCCCCTCTGACGCTGAAAAAAGTTTTGTTTCCCCATCTTATAAAACAAACTAGTTTTTTTTTTGACTGATACACATGCAATATTCATAAGCTTATGCTTTTTGGCACAGTTTTACTCAAACAACATTTAAGCCTAGCTTGGGCTAAGCAGAATGTACCCCGAAAAACATGTAAACAGAAACACAGCTGTTAAACCAAGGGTGCTTTGTATAGCTTACGATGGAGCCATTAACACAATCAACTAATTATTAGGTGCTTTGTATAGTTTACGATGAAGCAATTATCACAATCAACTACTTATTAGTGAAGCTTATGATGTGTAGCATAGGAGCAATACCTCTTCATCACGTTCCCCCATGAGTTCTAGAGCTTGAAAGTGCCTTTGTTTCAGAGCTTCCAATTCAGCCCTTAAGCCAGGCACAGCTGCGGCTTCAGTCCGTAACTTTTCACACTGCATAAAAGTTCAATTCAGTTTGCACACATGTATAGATAGAAAGAGGTGTAAAACTCTGATTAGATTGTCAGGATTTACTTGTTCTGTCATTTTCACCAACTCCTCCGCCAGTGAATTCCGAATTGATTCCAATGAGGCCTGAAACACACAACAACATTACTTCCAAGAAGAAGGCGCAGATCAAATCAGAGTAACAAATGATAAATGACAATGAAATAATGAAGTTTGAGTGACTGCTGTCTTAATGAATATTATAGCAAAAAGTATGAAAGAAATAATAGAACTAGAAAGGTCGCCAGCAGCCCAGCACATATGACTTCATATATTGTAGGAACATTTCTTTATCAGAATATGTTCCAAGACTGAAGCCGCAGCTGAATCTGAAAGATGAGTGTGATGCATGAATCTGAAGGTACTAAGGATTTTTGAACCAGTGCAGGATGGGGCACAGGTTGGCAGCAGATATCATTTCCTGCCAAGTGCCAATAACTTCCCTGCTAAATTCTAGATGCTGCTCAATAGAAGTTAGCCAGGAAGACACTGAAAAAAAAATTAGACCACCCAGGAGGAACTAGGCAGCTTTTATATCAAGAAAATTGACACCCAATTTGCCTCGACAAGTACTTGAACGTGGGTGGTATAGGCGTACAACCACACCACAAACAACTGAGCCTGCTCTGCTGCCTTAGCCAGGAACCCACTGAGAGAGAGAAATCCAGTTTTTTGGCCAAAAAAAAATGTTGCCAAATCATGTCTGACAATTTGGAAGTAGCAAAGTTAGTTAAAAAAAGCTGTGTGAAAGATATGTTTACAGACATGAATGAACTCAGTTACACGAAAACTCATCAATAAATTTGCAAGCTTGTAATTACTGCAGCTCGTAGTTCTAATAATCAGCTACCACTTCTAAAAGTTACTACGATTGTTTACCAGCAAGACAAAAGTGATAAAACTTAATGGGGTACTAACTAAACAGTTTGAGGAGATCAGGAGAAATATCAGAAGGATGCTTTATACATACCAAGCGAGACATGTAAGAAGCAAGCTCTCCATCCTTTTGACGAAGTGCTGACTCAAAAGCACTTGGAGTCATGGTCCTCAGATAATACGACATATTACTTTCTGAAGACATTCGCCTCTCTAATGAAGCATTGTCAGATAAATCCAACGATGCTTGAAGGAAATGGCTTTCTTCTAGGCTATTTATACTGCCAGAACTAGACAGCTTTCTGAGAGGGGCATTTCCTTCAAAGAGCAAAATAGGAAAAAGTTAAAAAGAATGGTAAGGTAACAACGAGAGGCAAAGTTGGATCTAACTCGCCTAAATTAATTGGTATGAAAATAAAAGGCGTACTTGTCTGATCAGGAAGTGGAACTTTAGGTGCTTCACGGGAAGATGTTTTCTCAATTTCTGCTCTGGCAGCCTTTTCCCTTTCAAGGTCCTGTAAGTGCAATTCATGAAAGAAAATATCACATACATTGCAATTATGTTTATTCAAGTATCAACAAGCAACTTGAACTGATCTGATCATTTATTACCTTTTCGGTAGCAACAATATGATCAATGACATAAAATTTTTTGCTTGACTAAGAAAAAAGCAATGGTCCTAACAAAAGGCTTATAGCAGAGATCAATGTTTGTGTTATATGACATAAACTAACCATTTTACTAAGTCATAAATTATAGATACATTAACAAAATTGGCAGGAAAACATCACTTTCATACAGTCCTAAAACTAATAACATACATAGCTGGTCCAACTATTTTTTCTGAAACTCTCGCAGTTAACTACCTTCTCAAGCAGTTCCCTGTGTTCTGCTGCTTCTTGCAGCTCCTTCTTATGCTTAGCTCTAAGCTCCTTTATCTCTTCTTCGAGCTGTTTAGCCCGCCCTTCTTGCATTGCTGCCTCCTCTTTAATTGTTAGGTACTCCTGTCTACTTTCAGATGCTCTCTGCCTCTCCTTTTCAAGAGATCGACTCAGCTGTGTCTGCTCTGTTCTAAGAATTGTAATCTGCATGATCCAATAGTCACCCCAAAAATTACTTGGCTATAAATCTGAAAGTGAGGTCTTAACACTAATACTAGCATATTTTTGTTTTGCTAGAAATTGATATACCAACCTGGGTCTCAAGAACAGTTATCCGGGATAAACTTTGCGACAGTCGCTCATTTATAGACCGCTCCTTTTCTTCTGAAGCAGCAGCTTTAGCTTCTGCTTCCTGCATATTCAAGCAAAACAACAGATTATACATGATGCGTTAAGAAAAGACAAACCTTATAATTCAAGTTTTCTTCATTGCATTTATGCAGCTACAGTTAAAACATATTTTTTTAACAAACCTGAAGGCGAGAGTTTAAGGTTCTCTCCACACCAGCCCAAGCTTCTTCCCTTCTAGCAGCTGTCTCCTGTGAATATTAACATGCAATTGATTAACTGAAAAAGCAATACACGCGGACAAGCCCAATATGGAAACAAAACAGAAGTGTGACACATAGACCAAGAATAAACAACAAAAGAAACATGAAAAGGGGCGTACCCAGTGCAAAGAGCTCCCGCTCTGTGCGGGGTCTGGGGAAGGGTGTCAGTGGCAAGCCTTACCCTCGCCTGTGCAATGCGAGGAGACTGCGACTCGAACCCGGGACCTTCCGGTCACAGGCGGTAAGACTCTACCGCTTGCACCAGGTCCGCCATTCAAAAGAAACATGAAACAAGTTTTTTAAAAAAGGCCAAATACAGGGGACCGATACCTGCATAGCTTCAATTTGCCTTAGGAGCGGTCTGGTAGACTCGGGAACTTGTGTCACTAGTTCATTATAACGAAGTTCACTGGCCTGAAGTATTAATAAATAATGAAGAAAGTGAGAAATGGTCAATTACCATTTTACTGCTTGACAACAGTTAACAAAGAAGCGCCTTACTTGATTCCGCTTTTGAAGATCATCATAGTCCCTTTTTAGTCTTTCTTCCCTGAAAGCAGCCTGAAACAGCCACAAAGAAACAGTTAATCAATGGAACTGACATCGGACGGCTATACAAGGTAAATGGCCAAATAGATCGTTGTTATTGAGGAATATAACTAAATGGCATAGATTATATTTAGGTCAACAAATAAAGCACTCCTACAGTCCTACTTACTTCTATCGACAGTTAGAGAAAAGGTCTGGATACAAATGTTCAGCATTTACCTCCTGTTCTTGTCGGGTGAGAGAATGCCTCAACTCCTCG